CCTTCCCCTCCTCCATCTCCACCCCTCCTCCATCTCCACCTCCTCCTCCTCCTCCTCCTCCTCCTCCTCCTCCTCCTCCTCCTCCTCCCCCTCCTCCTTCTCATCCTCCTCCTGGTTATCATCTTGATGATCGTCATCATCCTCATAATCACCAAATCACATCGTCACCATCATCCGAAGTATCACGTCATCATCAACATCATCATCAGCATCATCAGCATCCGCATCATCATCATCACCATCATCATCACAGTCATCATCATCAGCAGCATCAGTAACTATCGTCAACAGCATCAGCAGCATCATTAGCAGCATCATGTTCATCATCATCATCATCATCATCATCATCATCATCATCATCATCATCATCACGATCATCATCCTCAGCATCAGCATCAGCATCCTCACCAATGATCGTATTCATCATCATCAGCATCATCATCAGCAGCATGATCATCATCAGCACCATCATCATCATCGTCAGCATAAGCATCATCATCATCATCATCCGCATCCTCATTATCATCAGCATCCGCAGCAGCGTAATCATCATCATCGTCACAATCCTCCTCACCATTGTCATCAGCATCATCATCGTCATCATCATCAGCTTCAGTTTCATCATCATCATCACCACCACCACCATCATCATCATCATCATCATCATCATCATCATCATTACCATCATCAACATCATCATCATCCTCTTCCTACTCCAGCCCCGTACCCACTCCTCCGTGTCAGCAGCCTGGGCGCAAGTATTGATCAGCTCCTCGAGCACTGGCGTAAGGTTGAACAGGCACTGGTCCTGACCGATGCAGAAGACGCAGACGCGCACTGAGAGAGCGTGTGGCATAAGACTGTACGGCGCGCTATCCTGACCAAGGGAGGGGATGTGCAGTGACAGCAGCGTGTCCAGCGTAACACAGCAGCAGCAGAAGGATACCGAGGATGGAAGGGGTATAAAGGTGGAAGAGGAAGGAGGAGGAAGAGGAGGAGGAGGAGGAAGAGGAGGATGGAAGAGGATTGAAGAGAGAGGAAGATGAGGGAGGGCGGGAAGGGATGAGGATGAAAGTAGGAGGAGAAAGAGGAAGAGGAGGGGGAGGGGGAGGGGGAGGAGGAAGAGGAGGAGGGGAAGGAGAAGGGGGAGGGGCGAGGAGGAGGAGGAAGAGGAGGAGGAGGAGGGGGAGGGGCGAGGAGGGGGAGGTGCGAGGAGGAAGAGGGGGAGGGGCGATGAGGAGGAGGAGGAAGCATACGGCGAGGAAAGGGTGGAGGAACAGGCGGGAGAATGTGACCAGCCCCCGAAGCCCCGACGCCGCACCTTCACGGCGACGAGATGGTGGAGGAAGAGGCGGGAGAACGTGACCAGCCCCCGAAGCCCCGACGCCGCACCTTCGCTGACACCTCTTCGCGGCGCGGAAGTCGGGGAGACGTAAGACTCGGGTTCGGGGGACCCGGGTTGGCCTGACGGGGCACTCCACGGGCCTCGGGACCGTGAGAGCACATCTCTGTCGGAATGCAGAACTGGTCTGGGGGGAAGCCCCCGGGATTAGGACCAGTTTTTTTTGGCGGAGTACACAAACTGGGGAGACGTAAGACTCGGGTTCGGGGGACTCTCGGGTTGGCCGGACGGGGCCATCATGAAAACCTCCTCCTCCTCCTGCTCCTCCTCCTCCTCCTCCTCCTCCTCCTCCTCCTCCTCCTCCTCCTCCTCCTCCTCCTCCTCCCCTCCTCCCCCCCTCCCTCCCCCCCCTCCCTCCCTCCCTCCCTCCCTCCCATCCTCCCTCCTCCCTCCCCCCCTCCCTTCCTCCCTCCTCCCCCTCTCCACCTCCCTCCCTCCCTCCCTCCCCCCTCCCTCCCATCCCTCCCTTCCTCCTGCTCCTCCTCCTCCTCCTCCTCCTCCTCCTCTCCTCCTCCTCCTCTCCTCCCTCCTCCTTCCCTCCCTCCCTCACCACTCACTCCCTCCCTCCCTCCCTCCCCCTCCCCCTCCCTCCTCCCTCCTCCCTCCTCTCCTCCTCCCCTCCTCCCCCTCCTCCTCCTCCCTCCACCCTCCTCCCTCCTCCCTCCTCCTCCTCCCTCCTCCTCACTCCTCCTCCTCCTCCTCCCTCCTCCTCCTCCTCCTCCTCCTCCTCCTCCTCCTCCCCCTCCTCCTCCCCCTCCTCCTCATCCTCCTCATCCCTCCTCCTCCTTCTCCTGCTCATCCTCCTCCTCCTGCCTCCGCCTCTTCGCAGACATCATGGCCCAGGGCACGTGCGCAGGGGGAGGGGGCCAGGGAAGTATGCGCGATAAGGATGCAAGTGCTTTGGACGCAAGTTTCGGAGCTTTTCCAGCAGGGCGCGGCCAACGAAAGTGGCCAGGGATGGACCGAGGAGGCAGGGATGCAAGGGTACCCTTCGGAAGGTTGCCCATCCTCGCTGTGCGGGCTGACTGCCCTGGGAGGTCTTCGCCGGAAGGATCGAGGAGGATGAAGCTAAGACGAAGACAGGACGAGGGTAAAATCGGGGAGGGGACACATCGAGAATCTCTGAGGTTCGGCGGCTCTGGAGGATGTCTCGCGCATCGCGGCCTCCTCAGGGCGTTCCGGAACGCTCTGATAGCGTTCCAGAACGTTCTGGAACGGATTTATCCTCGTCCTGGCCCCGTCCGATAGGAAGCAACTACTGGGATGTCTTCGTCGGAAGGATTAAGGAGAATGAAGCTCCCATTGGGGGGCTGTTACGCCAAATTAGGCCGCGGATGAAGCGGGATCAAGCTGGATGAAGGCGGGTCAGGCAAGATTGAGCGGGATTGAGCCGATTCAAACTGCTTTGATCAGAATTTGACCTCCCAAGAGTTGCATCCGAACGTTCCTACTTGTAGGATAAGTCAGCACTGCATCAGCAAGTCGAATCGAATCAGAGCGGGCGTTGCGAGGCGGATATTTAACTATTCATGCAGTGAAAAGGTGTATTCAGGACGGGTGGCAAGGACGGAAGGCCCTTGGAGGCCGAAGTTGGGATTTTGGGCGGCGGGCGACAAGTGAAAACGGCAAAGGACGGGCCGCAGAGCCAAGGACACGGGAGCACCCGAGATGAAGGCGCGCGTCATTACTAGGTGCGTTGACTGTAGTCGGTGCCAGGCTGCGCCACACAGGTTGGCCTGCGCTTCGCGCAGGCTTCGAGAAACGCGCCTGGCCCACAGGGCCAGGCCCGAGACGACCGCAGGCCTCGGGGTAGAGCCCCCAGTCCTCCAAACCGAGCCCAACCGTGGCGACGATATGCCCAGCGGCAAGGGGGAGGGGTGGGGGAGGAGAATGAGGAGGAGGAGGAGGAGGAGGAGGACTCTAAGACGATAGCCTTCCTTCGGGGTGGAAGGTCCCCAGGAATCTGGACACTGAAGGAGCGGCCACCAGAATTAAGGCATCGAGCCCTGGCGCGCATCGCCTGGCGCCCTGCCGAGCATGCCGTCGGCCTGGGGATACCGATCCCAAGGAAGGCTTGGACACGATGGCGCAGCCCCCTCCGTTGGGACGCGAGCGGGATGGGGCAACGCTCGAGCTTCGGGATGCTCCGGCTCTGCGGCGAGAGCCAGACAGAATCTCGGACATCGACGACGTCGAACGGCTTCGGATTGCCGAGGGTTGATAGAGAGGGCAAGATTGGCGAGCGGCGCGAAGTCTAGACCGCTGCCGGGGGGACAAGGCGTGTGAGACAGTTGGCTGTTCCCCTCAAGCTACCCACCCCCTCCCCCCCTTCAGCGTGCATTTTTGAACTGGGGGGGGGGCCCTAGCTAAAGAGGGGGGGCTTGGAAGCTCCCTCCCCCATCCCCCTCTTTTTCGGTGCCCGAGGTCAGCCTGGGCTCTCCTTTTCAAAAAAAGGGAGGGGGCTTCCGAAGCTACCCTGGCTAAAAGGCAGGAGGAGGCTTGGAAGCTACCCCCCCCTCCCCTCATTTCAGGGGACCAGGGTAAGCACGGGCTCCCCTTTCCAGGGGGGCTTCCGAAGCTAGCTCCCTCCTCCTTCTGTTGGCTTCCCCAACTGCAGGGCCCTGGCTGAAGGGGGGGCTTCGAAGCCCTTCGGTATTCGGCGCCATTTGGCTTTCGGCGCGCCTTTCTGGCTTTCGGCGACCTTTTAGTTTTCGGCGCCCCTTGAGCTGTCGACCCCCCTTTGGTTTTCCGGCGCCCCTTTTGTTTTCGGCGCATATTTGGTTCTCGGCGCCCCTTTGATTGTCGGCGCCTTTTTTTTTCGGCACCCCTTGTGGTTTTTCGGCGCCTTTTTGGTTTTCCGCGCATCGTTGGTTTTATGCGCATCGTTGGTTTCCGGCGCCTCTTTGGTTTTCCGCGCCCCTTCGGTTTTCGGCGCCCCTGGAGTTTTCGGCGCCCCTTTGGTTTTCTGCGCATCGTTGGCGTTCGGCGCCCTTTGGTTTTCGGCGCATCTTTGGTTTTCGGCGCCCCCTTGGGTTCCCACGCCCATTTGGTTTTCTGCGCATCGTTGGTTTTCGACGCCCTTCTGGTTTTCGGCGCCCCTTTTGTTGTAGGCGCCCCTCTGGTTTTCGACGCTCTTTGGTTTTCGGCACCCCTTTGGTTTTCGGCGCCTTTCGGCTCTCGGCGCATCGTTCGTTTTCGGCGCCCTTTGGTTTTCGACGACCTTTTCGTTTTCGGCGCCCCTTGTGGTTTTTCGGCGCCCCTTGTGGTTTTTCGGCGCCCTTTGGATGTTCGGCGCATCGTTGGTTGTCGGTGCCCCTTCGGTTTTCGGCGCCTCTTTCGTTTTCGGTTTTCGGAGCCCCTTTGGTTTTCGGCGCCCCTTTGGTTTTCGGCGTCCTTTTTGTTTTCGGCGCCCTGTCCGTCTTCGGAGCTTCTGTTGTTTTCGGCACCCCTTTCGTTTCGGGTGCCCTTTTGGTTTTCGCCGCCCCTTTGGTTTTTCGGCGCTCATTTTCAGTTCCGTTTCCCGTTATGGCTCTCGAACGCGCACTGGCCGACTTCCAGTTTCAATTGTGGCTCAATGTCGGTTTCACCTCTGGTTCTCCTTATAACGAACGGGAACTGCCCGAATTCAGGTTTCAGTTTTGGTTCAATTCCAGTTCCGGTTCTTTCTCTACTTCTGACGTACGGGAACTGGCCGGATGCAGGTTTCAAGTCTGGTTTAATTCCGCTTACAGTCTTGGCTCACTTAAGGGAACTGGCCGAATGCTGGTTCCAGTTCTAGTTAGATTCCGGTTCCGGCACTGGTTCTCCTTCTGACGAACGGGAACTGGCCGAGTTCTGGTTTCAGTTCCCCTGACAAGTCTGCATGGTTCTCGAACGGGCATTTCACGAGGTCGGGCTTTAGTTTCGGTTCACCTCCCGTTCTGGTTCTGGTTCTCCCTATAACGGGAACTGGCCGGGTTCCGGTTTCAACTCTGGTTCAGTTCCGGTTCCGGTTCTGCTTCTCGAACGGGAGCTAGCCGAGTTCTGGTTTCAATTCTGGTTCAGCTGGTTCTCGAGCGGGAACTGGCCAAATTCAGGTTTCAGTTCAGGTTCAGTTCCGGTTCCGCTTCTGGTTCGATCTGGGAACTCGGTTCAAGTCTGCTTCAATTCCGGTTCCGAGTTTAGGTTTCAAATCTGGTTCAGTTCTGGTTCCAGTTCTGGTTCTCCTTCTGACGAACGGGAACTGGCCGAATTCAGGTTGCAATTATGTTTCAATTCCAGTTCCAATTCTGGTTCACTTTCTCACGAACGGGAACTTGCCGAATTTCAGCTTAAATTCTGGTTTGGTTCAGTTCCGATTGCAGTTCTGTTTCTCTCACGGGAACTGGCCGATTTCCGGTTTCAGTTCTGGTTCATGTCTGGCTCCTGTTCTGATGGCACTCGTAATGTTAACCCCGGGGGGGGGGCAGGTGGTAAAGTCTTTCTTTGGAAACAAAAACTTACGTGGTGCAAACTATGCTGCGTAATCCGTGGGATGCAGTACAACTACGTGGTGCAATATACCCTGAGATCCGACGTTTCGAAAATACGACCGGAGCCCCAGACCCCACCATTCTGTGCCGCTTGTCGATCCCGACCCATCTGTGAGGGCCCCGGGGCCCGACAAAAGGCGGCAACGCCCCGCTCGAAACCTGATATTGCCACGAACCCCGACCTTGGAGGACTGGTGGGCGTGACTTGCGAGGAAGCGAAAAACAAAGAAGAAAATGCCCATAGGGTGCATCATGCTGATTCCCGTTTTGTCCGTTTGACACTGTGCCGCATTCAGGCGCATTATGTTGGTTCCCTTGCTGTCCGTTTGATGCTGCACTACTTTGTCGGGGCGTTTCCGACCATCTTGGAGCCGTATTGGGCAATCTTCGGGCCCTGGGGCGTCTCCGACCATCTCGGGGCCCTGTTAGGCCAATCTTGGGGGGCTGTCTTGGGGGCGTCTTCGACCGTCTGGGCGCCCTCCTGGGGGACTATGTGGGGTCTCGCGGGCCGCCTTGGAGCGTTATGAAGCTGGAAAGCCGTAAACAGAGAAGAACTTAAAGAACTGAAAGAAATCAATGAGTTTGGACTCTTGGGGGTCTCTTGGGAGACCTCTTGGAGGACAAGTGGGCGTGACTTTCGAGCAAGAGAACAGCAAAGAAGAGGATGCCCATAGAGCGCGTGACGTTGATCCCCGTGTTGTCCGCTTGGGGCTGTGACGCTTTGTCGGGGCGTCACCAGCCATCGTGGGGCTCTCTCGGGGGATCTTGGGGCCGTCTTGGAGGCTTCTACCACCCCCTGGATTCAAAAGTGGTGATCGGCACTATGGCAGGGAACAACCCCTGGGTCTTCGCCAATCGAAAAAAAAACTCAAGCTTCGACCTTCGATCGGTCCCAAGTAACTCGTGGCCCGAACGGGGGACGGCGACGCAGGGGTGGACGAGACGCGCGGTTGGTAGGACAGTCCAAACGAAATCGCCACACTTCGGCGGTGTGAAAAGCGGTCGGGAAATACCCCGCGTGGAATTCTCAGGCGGCATCGCCGTTCTCAAGCGGCAGGAAGATGGATCTGAAATTTGTTCTACGGAAGTCCCACGCAAACTCGCCACTTTCGGATGCCGCGGCAAATTTTCAGATCGCCCTGGAAATCGGTCTGATTATTTTTGTTGCGGAGGTCTCAGGCGGAATCACATTTTCAGACGCTGGCCCCATTTGGCCGTTATAATATTAAAAAGGAGTGAGAGATGCATCTGAAATTCCCGACTCGGCCCCGAGTCCAACATTGCCCCGGGGCCCCGGGGCCTAACGGGAGGCCAACCGTGTCCTTCTCGATCCCCACGGTCTCCACTTTTTTTATCCAGCGGGTTGTAGGAGGTTCCTGGAGGCCTCTTCGAGGCTTTTCGGGGCCTCTTGGATGCCTCTTGGGGGCCTCCTGGGGGCCTCTCGGGGCCATGAAGCCCGAAATGTCGGTCCCTGCCTCCTCTCTGGGGGCGCTCTTGGAGAGTTCCCGGGGCCTTCTGAGGCCGTCTTGGAGGCCGCTGGGCTGTCTTGAGGGCGTTTCCGGGCCTGTCTTGGGGGCCTCTTAGGCC